ACCAACGGTGCATTTAAAACATATGACAGTTGACTTATTGTAAACGTCATAATTTCGAATTTGACAGACGAACGGTGCATTTAAAACATATGACAGTTGACTTATTGTAAACGTCAAATTATTAAATTTGATAGACGAATGGTGCAATTCACAAATATGACAGTTGACTTATTGCAAATGTCATAATTTTAAATTTGACATTTCATAATTATATTTGTGACAAACATACAAATTATATAATATCTTGCTTTACAAACATTGGAAATCATGGGTTTAGAAAATTTTGTACCACATTTAGCGAAACAAATCAACTTACATTTAGTTTTAAGTAGATTTAAATAACAAATTCTTATATCTTTTTTGTTCAGATTCTGAAAATGAAGAAAGAACATGTACGCTCTGATAATAGAAAAAAAATAGCAATTTTAAAATTTGTTATGGATAATTTTTACAAATATAAATTGCAGAATTTTAGCTAAAATCTTCAGTGTATACTAACGTAACTCTTACATTATGCTTCGTTGGGCTTTGGTTTTCTCTGTTGTCGTGGCCGTAGCAAACGGAAAGATTCTGAGTGCTCAGCAATTCCAGCAGGAGCTGAGGAAGAACCACGTTCCGGAATGGATGATTGGCACATTCACTTGCATTGCGAAACGCGAATCCGGCTTCAACACTGCTGCGAGGAATTGGCACACGGGAGATCACGGCATCTTTCAGATCAGCCAGAAATACTGGTGCTCTCCACCAGGTAACGATACATTCAATTGTTTTCATAACGTTCGTTGTTTTAATTTATTTTGGATGTTTGTTTTTGCAGGAAAAGGATGCAAAGTTTCTTGCGACGCTCTGCGAAACAATGATTTAAAGGATGATATTAAATGCGCAATGCTTATTTACAACAAGAGCGGTTTCAATGCTTGGGCCACTTACCAATATTGTCGTTAATTACTTGATTTTCTTATTAATTCGCACAATTTCCACGTTTTGATTATTGTTTGATTGTATTTGCTATAATTAGAATTTAGATTAATGAAAATAGTTTTTTTTGATAGAATTAAGAAAATTACTGTTGTTTTGTTAGTAATGTAATTAAAACTAAACAAATAGATTAGATTTGCAATGACATTTCTTTACAAATTTTTATTATTCCCTCTGTCTGAAAATAAGTGTCCCATTAGTAAATTATAAAAATCGGATCAAGTCTTCTTTGATAAACATATGTTGACTTGAATTTAAAACGTCAAAACAATGTCAAATTTCAAATAAATTATTGGAATTAATTTCGTATTTGTACCTAAGATAATTTGTTAATATTTTGCTATAATATGACAGTATAAAAAGTTTGTAGAAGTTGACAAATTGTCATCGAAAACAATGATTAGTACCAACTGCAAATCATTACACTTCTCAGGTTAGTTGTAGTTATCTTACCATTGACATTTACGTCAAATAGGAATGTGATTAATAATTGCCAACTGCAAATAATTATACTTCTCTACTGAATTGGTATGCCTTTGAAATGTAAGTTCTTTGGTTTTGTAGATAAAATATTGATTTTCTAAAAATATTCAAATACTTCTTCTAACAAAGATAAGTGAACTAGTTTATTGTCTTGTGAACTATAATTAGAACTTAGGTTATTGAAAATTGTTTATTTTTTTATTTTTTTGACAGAATGATGAAAAGTACTGTTGTATTATTAATAATATAAATAAAACTAAACAAATATTAGATTTGCAATGATTTTTCTTTACAAATTTTAATAAATTAAAAATGTCATCTGTACGAAATTTGACAGTAAAAGAATTTGGTAAATTATCGTCGGGAAGGAAAAGTACTAATTGCAAATCGTTACACTTCTCTGATTAGTTGCAGTTCTCGTACCATTGACATTTACGTCACCTAAGAATGTGTTTAATAAAGTTGGTATGTCTTTGATATTAAGTTCTTTGACATAGTAGACAAAACATGGATACATAATTAGAAATGCAATAGCAAAGGAACCCTTTGGTAAATACTTTTATTTTGCAATGTGCGAACTTTGATTTAGTTATGTAACAATGTGCTTATACAATTCCGTATTTTAGCTAGCAGTTTCTAGGTTGTCTCAATGACAGTATTTGTAGGTTGTCCACGCTGTGAAGCCGTTTCCGCTTAGACGCGTTGTTTCCTGGTAGACGTGCATTGCGCACCTGATGTCGTCTCGTATATCGTCGTTTTCCATTGCGGCGCAGGTCACGCCGCAGCCGGTTCCTGCAAAGAAGCGTTCAGTATGCAATCAAGGTATGCTTAATTATTCCGGCCACAATCGGAGGATGATGAGGAGGAACGAAGTGGTAATTACCTGGAGGTGAGCACCAGTAGATCTGGCTGATCTGGAAGATGCCGTGATCTCCGCTCTCGGTGTTCCTTGCCGCCGTATTGTAGTTGGATTCGTGCTGAGCTATGCACTGCCACGTGGGTATCATCCATTCCGGGACGTTGTTCTGTCTGAGCTCCTTAGCGAACTGATCCGGTGACAGAATCCTTCCGAAAGCGGTGCAAAGAACGGACGAAGCCAGAAGAATATGGATCAGGAAAGACATCTTCACTTTGATGATGGGATTCTTCACTTAAATGAAAAAAAAATATAATCACAGCTCTTTATAGCAAAAAACAACAACTTTTTCGAGGTTGATTTACGCAAATATCGTTCGATTAATTTAATTTATTCCACTGATAAGTCAATACTAAATTATTCATTTACGTAATTCTGATTCCAAAAAGTTCTATAATATATTTTATACTTTAAGATATTTGAAAATAAATGCTCACCTTTAACTTTCAACAAAATTAACTAACGCTGAATTGCGACTGAAACTGTTTTAAAGACGTATGTTTTTTTGTCTTATATACCAAAGACTAATTACAGGGGTGACGATGAGGAATGTTTTTTGTGGTATGTTTAGATAAGGAATAATTTGTATATATTGTTTTGATTGATCGTTGGTGCGTGTGTCTATTGATAATGTCGGCATTTGTCCTTCATTTAACAATTATATATATTACCGGTATTAGCATGGAAGAATGTTTGATATAGTTGTTTTTCCCTAAGTTAATTGTTGCACAAATTGTGACACAATCTATTGTCGTATTTCATTTTTCAATAACAAAAAAAGAGAGATATTCTTTAATATTTTGTTTATTTGTTTTTAGTTGTAATGTTGTAATGTTGATGTTTTATGTAAAAGCAGAATTACTATTTTAAGGAATACTTGTTAGTTAGTTTCACGTATCATTCATAGACATTAATAAGAATCTAAATGTGTTTAGTTCGACTGGAAATATATATCATTCTTGTATTTTTTTAGATGTAGATATTAGGATTTGAGGTATATCACTTTCGTATAAGTAGTATTAGTATGTGAGGTATAGTTCATACATATTAATAATGCTATAAATTGGTTCAGTTCTGTATATTTTTCTGAATGAAATCTTTTTTTTTTCTTGTGTGTTCTAGAAGCAAAATTACTCTGAGAGGTATATAACTTCAGTTGATGTAGTATTAGTATTTGAGGTATATCTCTTTAGTAACAGTAGTATTACTATTTTACTTACAGTACAGTGTATTTTATAAATGGAAGACTTATTTCATTCTTGTGTTTTTAGTACTGGTTATACTTCAGTAGAAGTAGTATTAGTATGTGAAGTATAATTCATACACATTAGTTCAATTCTGTGAGTGCTTTTTGAATGAAAAACTTATTTTATTCTTGTGTTCTCTTGAATATGAGGTATGTCACTTTAGTAGAAATAGTATTAGTATGTGAGTTATATTTTATACTCATTAATGAGACTATATAATGCGAGACTATAATGAGACAACTTTCATTCTTGTTTTGTTTTTAGAAGTAATATTACTATATGAGTTATATCACTTCAGTAGTATTAGTTTGTGAAGTATAGTTCATACACATGAATAAGACTATATATTAGTTTAGTTGTGTGTACTTTATGAATAAAAAACATATTATCATTCTTGTGTTTTTTTAGATATAGTATTACTATATAAGATACTTTCATTAGAAGTAGTATTAGTATGTGAAGTATAGTTCATATACATTAAGAAGACTATATATTAAGTTCAGTTGTGTGTAGTTTATGAATGAAAGATATTTTTCATTCTTGTGTTTTTTTTTAGATATAGTATTACTATATGTGGTATATCACTTCAGTAGAAGTAGTATTATTAAGTGAAGTATAGTTCATGAATGAAAGTCAAATTTCATTCTCGTGTTTTCTAGAAGTAGTATTACTATTAGAGGTATATCACTTTAGTAGAAATAGTATCAGTATATGAGATGTAGTTTATACACATTAATAAGACTATATATTAGTTCAGTTGAGTATATTTTATGAATGAAACACAACTTTCATTGTTGTTTTGTTTTTAGAAGTATTATTAGTATATGAGGTATATCACTTCAGTTGAATTAGTAAAATTACGTGAGGTATAGTTCATACAAATCAATAAGACTATAAATTATTTTAGTTGTGTTTATTTTATGAATGAAAGACATAATTAATTCTTGTATTTTTTTAGAATTCCTATTACTATATGAGTTATATCAGTTCAGTAGAAGTAGTATTACTTTGTGAAGTATAGTTCATACACATTAATAAAACTATATATTTGTTTAGTTGCGTGTACTTTATGAATAAAAAAACATATTATCATTCTTGTGTTTTTTTAGATACAGTATTACTATATGATGTATATCACTTCAGTAGAAGTAGTATTAGTAAGTGAAGTATAGTTCATATACATTAATAAGACTATATTTTAAGCTCAGTTGTGTGTAGTTCATGAATGTAAGTTATTTGTAATTCCTATGTTTTCCTGAAAGTAGTATAAGTATTTGAGGTATATCTCTCAATAAAAGTAGACTAATAGTTTGACTACCTTGATAATACAATACATTTTTCAGTTCTGTCTATTTTATTAATGAAAGACAAATTTCATTCTCGTGTTTTCTAGAAGTAGTATTACTATATGAGGTATATCACTTTAGTAGAAATAGTATTAGTATGTGAGATACAGTTTATACACATTAATAAGGCTATATATTAGTTCAGTTTATGAATGAAAGATAATTTTCATTCTTGTTTTATTTTTAAAAGTATTATTAGTATACAAATCAATAAGACTATAAATGATTTTAGTTGTGTTTATTTTATGAATGAAAGACATAATTTGTTCTTGTATTTTTTTTAGAATTGGTATTACTATATGAGATATATGACTTTAGTGAAAGTAGTATTAGTATGTGAGATATAGTTCATACACAATAATAAGACTATATGTTAGTTCAGTTTTGTGTACTTTATGAATGGAAAACATATTTTATTCTTGTGTTTTCTAGAAATAGTATTACTATATGAGGTATACCACTTTAGTAGAAATAGTATTAGTATGTGAGATATAGTTTATACACATTAATAAAGCTATATATTAGTTCAGTTGAGTATATTTTATGAATAAAAGACAACTTTCATTCTTCTTTTGTTTTTAGAAGTAGTATTAGTATTTCTCAATTGAATTAGTACTAGTACGTGAGGTATAGTTCATACAAATCAATAAGTTGTCTTTATTTTATGAATGAAATACATAATTTATTCTTGTGTTTTCTAGATGTAGTATTACTATATGAGTTATATCATTTCAGTAGAAGCAGTATTAGTATGTGAAGTATATGAAATACACATTATAAAGACTACATTTGTTCAGTTATGTGTGTTTTTTTTTAATAAAAGACATTTTTTCACTGTAGATGTAGTATTAGTATTTGTGTAAAAGTAGACTACTAGTTTGACTGCATTAATAATACGATAAATTTTTCAGTAGTGTCTATTTTATGAATGAAAAATACACCTCATTCTTGTGTTTTATGGAAGTAGTACTACTATTAGAGGTATGCCACTTTATAGGAAGTAGTACTACTATATTAGGTATAGTTCATGCTCATTGAGAAGACTATGAATTAGTTTAGTTATGTGTATTTTATCAATGGAAAAGTGTGAATTGTCGTTAGTTTAGCAAATCGTCTCCTGTTTTTTTTTATATAATATAATTCTTTTTGTATCAATTTATGCAAATTATATTTACAGTTGACAAGACAGAGAATTACACGAAAAATTGAATTAATTCGCGTGCGTCGAGATGAATTCACCCGATGAATATTAATGAGCGATGAAGAAGCAAGCAAGCAAACAGTTGAGTTGTTTCCAATGTGCCTTTTTGCAGCATGCGACTCACGATGAACCCTTTTTTTTTGTTGTTGTTCCATTTCGATGAAATAATCCGGCGATGTTATATTATGATTGCCTTCCAATAAATATTCCAACCGTCCTCGTCTTCCTTCTCCTCTTCGTCCATCCTCATCCTCTCTACCAGTTTCTTCGGACAACTCATTTCTTCCTTCCACTTCTATTTTTTTTTCTTCTTCTCGAATCCCGTGTATGTTTATATGAACACGCATTCTTTTGTTTTATGGGTCTGCTCGAGGACTCGCGCGCCTTCTATCCATCATCAGCCGGGGGGGCCTTCATCTCTCCTCTCTCTTCAACCAACAGAAAATTGCATTTTCATCTCTGTTCTCTGCATCTGCATCGGCTCTGCTGTGAGAAGGAACGAAAACTGCACAATCAGCAACCCCTCATCATCGCCAATGACTCGACACACATATTTCACTTAATGAGATATTACTGCTGCTCATAACCAGTCTCTCTACTCTTCCTTTTCTTTCTTATTTCTTTTTTGTAAACTTCTTCCTCTTTGTTTTTCCTCTTCATTATTATTTCTCAACATTACCATGTTCCATAATTGAAGAAGAAAAGAAGAACTGGACGATGATGATGAGCTTTTACCGATCACAATAAATTACATCATAGACAATCAAGTGCCAATAAACGATACCAGAAACTAAACAAAGGAATATCCTTTGGGTGGCATTTTACAAAAGATAGTTAAACAATAGTTTTCTGAATCAACACTTGAATGGGTGATATACAAATACCATTAATCAATTTCTTTTTCTTTTACATTTTCATACCATTAATTAACTTTCTATTTTTGTCATAAAAACATAAAAATCTCTTCATTAATTTAAAGACTTTATTAAATTTTGATACAAGATTATTACCAAAAAATATTTGGTAATAAATCGTTACTACTACTTTGTATTACTTCTATAGGAAATTATTAAATTGAGGTAATATTAAAAGGTGTGATAGTTAAGTATATGCAACCCAATAAACACGTTAAACTAATTGCAGATCAATAATTTCTTATATAATTTAAGTTGGATCATAGCGCAATTACTTTAGTATAAATTATATTATTTATTATATTATAAACTTAATAGCAAATCTGTAATAAAAGAGGATAAATAACTATGAATAAGTTCAAGTTATATTATGCAACCAATATTGCAATGTCATGGTGACGTTTTAATTGGAGAATTGTATCCGAACAATTTATGCTTTTTATGATGATATTTCTTATAGTTATGCTTGAATTATGTAATCTGGATTCGTAATGTCTGGATGGTATTCCAAAATTGCGTTTTGATAGGGTTGTATCTGTTTAAATCGTGTATTAAAAGAAACATGCGCGTCTCCGCCAGTCGATACTTTCGTTTTGCGCGAACGTGTCCCGTTGTAACACGATCTAAAAAGCAGTTCCGATCAGACTACGTCGCGTCTACGTTTACAACGCGACTCCTCCATCTTGCAATAAACGATAATCTCGACGATGGACGATGGTAGAGTTAACGAAAAGAAGATACCGAGACGTCGGAAATTCATCTCGTTGGAGACAAAGTTGAACGTTATCAAGAGGTTCGAGAGAGGCGAACGCCTGATGCACATTGTGCGAGAGGTGGGCTTGAACGAGGCCACGTGTAGAACGATCAGGAACAACGCGGATCGCATAAAAGCGAGCTGCGTGAACGTGTCTCCGCTCGGTGCGACACAGATCAGCCACTCCAGATCCATGATAATGATAGCGATGGAACACAGATTGACTTCTTGGATTAAGGAGAGATCTCCGTCGGACGAAGGCGTATCCATGCAGATGATCCAGACCAAAGCTTTGGAGTTATACGAGGAGTTGAGGCCTAGTTATCCGGAGGACGATGTTAAAACGTTTCTGGCGAGTCACGGCTGGTACACGCGCTTCAAGAAGCGTCTGGATTTCAACAATGAAGACGAAAGAACCATGGACGTGACGGTTAACAAACCGGAGGTTAAAGAAGAAGTGATCGATTACGTTGAAGAGAACGAAGAGATCGAGAGCTTCGAAGAGCTGTTCAGGAAAGTGGTCTCTTCCGGTGGATACAGCTCCAAACAGATCATCAATTTAGCAGAAACTGGACTGTTTTGGAACACGCTTCCAGCGAACACCCTCGTCAATCTGCAAAGAGACAAATGCAGCCTTCTCTTGGGAGGAAACGCCAACGGAGATTTGAAACTCAAACCCTTGATGATCTACCATTCTTCCAATCCGCAACCTTTGACTGGTTATTCAAAAGATCATCTTCCTGTGATTTGGCGTTCCAGTCCCGACGGTCATCTATCACCCAACATCTTTTTAGAGTACTTCAACATCTATCTGCAGCGCGAAATGAAGGATTACTGCGAGCAACAAGACATCGACTTCAAAGCTCTGCTCATCATACAGAATTCCCCGAATTACCCCGAAAACATTTTCGATCTCTCCAAGAACATCAAGGTCCTCTTCATACCGCCCAACGTGCAACATTTGATCCAACCCATGGGTCAAGGTATCTGCACCACCTTCAAATCTCGTTACCTCGTGAAGATCTTCGAGAAGTTTTCCAACGAACTTCATCTCACGAATCTGCAATACGTCTGGACGGATTTCAACATCAAGAACGCTGTTGATTTGGTTGCGGACGCTTGGAACGACATCAGCCCCGTGCATCTCAATTCCATGTGGAAGAATCTTTGGCCGGAATGCGTTTACTCGTACGACAACATGTTTGTTTCTTCGTTATCCGAAGCGATTTCTACCATCATCAATGCTTCAAAAAATCTCGGTTTTAGTGATTTTTGCGAAGACAATATCAGTGAATATCTGCATTACCACGACAATGAGTTTATCGGGGAAGAGCTTGAATGCGCGAAGAGGAAAATCGACGCTGCTGCTGCTGATGATGAGAAGACTGTACGTGTTTTAAGCTTAGATAAATTGACGACAGCTTTTGGTTTGATGGAAGAGGCTTTGAAGATCTTCGACGAGAACGACTCGGATCGTCAACGAAGCACCAAAGTCTCCAAAACCGTAAACGAATCCATCTCTTGCTACAAGAATCTTCTCAAAGAAAAGCTAAATCATTGTAATTTTTAAAGAAACATACTTTATTGCATTAATATTAGTTCCTGTTATATTGAGTATTATAGATTATTAATAAATAATTATTGAAAACGAATTTTTTTCACAAAATCCAATAATTTTTAATTTAAACAAATTAAGTTTAAAAATATATCTTTAACAGAAAAAAAAAACATAATAATAAATGTGTTTATAAATAATATAAATTAAATAAAAATTACTAAAAAAGTACAAATTTTAGGAAAATAAATGTTAAATTGAAAATCTAATATGATGTAATTACTTTATAAATGTAAATAAAAATTCTAAAAATACGTATTTTTGTTAGAAGAGATTTGGTAGAAATAAGCATATTCTACTGAAACGCCATCTCTTGGTAAAAATATTGAAATTTTCACCTGGCCAAAGCCATCATGGTCTGTTTAATATCCAGCATATCGTGCAGGACGTGCTTGTTCCCATCGCACATTTTACCAAAGTATTCCTTCCAATTAACATCTTTCAAATTGAAGAACAGCAACTCCTTTTCCTCTTCGCTCATCGTCTTCCAAATGGCATCAATATTGTCGGTGCTGTAGTGAAACTCTTTGGTGGAAAAATACTCCAACAGTTTGATCAACTTCTGATGCTGCTCAATCTCACGCACGTAACTGAAATAATTATGACAAATTAGATTTAGTTATTTCAAAATGATTTTGAATCTTACATTCCTTTCGTGCCGTTCATCTCCAAAACCAAATCCTTCATGTGACTCAAGAATCTGTACTTCAAACTACCGAAAGCCAACCAAGGATCCTTCACGTTGTCCAAATAGTATTCGTACTGCTCCAGCCAAGACGGACTGTTCACAGCGAAATTATAGAATTTCTTGTTTTCCCTAAAAAGTTAAACCTGTTTCTTTGATTTGTCCATCAAATGAGGGGAAAGTACTAGAACTTACGAAGATGTCGCTGAATCACAGGTGGCTGCTATCAAAGCGTTCGTGCAGAGATCAACTGGTGTCGAGTTTCCTGGAGATTTTGGATGCATCCTGAATACTAATCCCGTGTG